GCTTGTGTTTGCTTTTCAGCCGACGTGGGATGCATGGTGCGCTGTTCCGTACAACGCTCTGCGTTTCTGCTTCCTTGAAGGACTGCGTGTTTGGACACCCTGGCCGTGTGGATTTGTTCCTTGTTTTCTCAGCCCTTTTTTGATGTGCTCAAAAACTGTGAGATGTCAATTTGGGCCTGGCTCCAACGTGTTTATACTGTACATCATGTTCGCAGTCCGGGGTAGCCTTGGACTAACCGGCTGGAAACCGCCGAAAACGCCTCTTGTCTTGGCACCAGTGCCATTCTTCTCTTTGCTGTCTGTGCAAAATACAAGGCTCGCCCGACCGCATTGTTCGGTGAATCATACCCTTACACCTGCCCCAGACGTACCTGGCCTGAATAGCTGGTGGAGCCACAAAATACAGCACCGAGAAACAATGGACACCAAAAATGTCTCAAATCACATAATCCAATCAAGCAGCCACACTCCAGAATCAATCACACGCAACACAACAATCCGAAGTGCGAGCAAAAGCAAGCGATCCAAGCGCATGTTCGGGGCCAATTTTGGTTGCTGATTTGTTGGTTTGTCGGGCTGTTGTTGTGTTATCTTGAGTTGTTCTGTGTTTCTTTTGTGCGGCAAGTACAGGCGCGATGTTGTCGTTTGGTGTTTTAGTGGTATTGCCTTTGGCTGGGTTATATGTCTATGTGTGATATGATTGTTGATCCTTTATGTGTTTAGTGCCATCTGACTTCCAGAGTGAATGCACCTCAACTTGTTTTTTTCTCAGTGACTTTGGGGAGTTAGAACACCTGTTGGGCCGCCTTTCAACGCCAAAAAACTGTTAAGCTGGAAAATGGGCTTCGCCATTTCCTCAGGTTCGCGCTGAGCTATGGGTCTGAGTGCGGGTCCTGGGACATGCAGACCTGCGCCACCAACTATCGCCCGGACCAGGTGGACCTTTGGTGCTGCTCCTCCTGGTGCTACGTGGACAAGGAGATGACTTCCAATCCATTTCCGAAAAAAAGGCGATGGCATGGAGGGTACGAATGTCACACGCCAGAGTTGTGAGATCTGGAAAGCACGATTCAAGGCTCCATCATTCGCCCTCCCATCAAGGGGCAGGTGTGACCCAACCGGTGCAAGGAGTGCCCTTCGGCCATCGCCTCCTTGAACGATGGAATGGAGGGGATCCTCTACTGGTCTGACAACGTGTGCCAGGTGACGCGCAGGGGGGGGGGGAAGGGGAGGGGGCAGGTGGCGGCGGCCCCCTTTTTGGTGGACAAAAATGCGGCTTCAACAATTCAACAGGATGAAGATCGGGATTTTCTCCCTCCTCGGCGTTTTTTCTTTTTGTTCCGGCCAAGCAGCCGTTCAAGCACTCCAGCCCTGCAAAACAACACTGCAAGCTTCAGGATGATGCGGCATTGATGGTTCAGTGCCCCTACAAGCCGCAGCCCAACAACACCAACGCGTCCGCCTGCGAGTGCCTCAACGAGACCTTGCCTGACAGCTATCTCTTAGAGAAGGGCGTGAACCTGAGCCTGCACATGGGCTTTGGCGCCCAATGTGCCTTAATTTCACTTGCGGGGCACGGGAAAACACGGGCCCCGAGTTTGTGGCCGAACTAGGAAAATAAGAATCCATTCCGCCGGAAAGCACTGACCAGTTGAATCTGTTCATGTTTTCGGAAACCTCTTTTGCAAGACAAGACCTGGAGGTTGTCCAATAGATTGAATGCTGCGTGTACCCTTGTGGCAGGACCAATCAAGGATACTTTTTGCACAGAATGGAACTTCAGCTGAGCAGAGCTCAGGGGATGGATCATTTCAGGTTTGAGGTTGAGTGACGGAGCCCCGCGGGCCACCAAACCTAGCTGTTCCATCAAGCAAGCTAAGGAGTTTGACCTTGATCTCAGCCCGGCATTGTTTCTTGTGTTCTTTCCTGCCTGGATCGCAGTTGCTGTTTTGTTTCATGCACTTTACCCCAAAACCAGCAACAGTAACTGAAAAGAGCAGCAACTTGTCTATCTAGGTGGCACTCACAAAACAAGAAGCAGGTGCTCCCCATGACGCCTTCCTCTGCGACACCATGTACCCCACCGCCGACCATGACATGTGGTGCTGCCACTCCTGGTGCTACGTCGCGGAGACCTGCCCCACGGCTCGGGCCTCCACCATCTGGCCGGGCCATTTCTGGAGCGAGGACTCGGAGTTGGGAAACGGACCCGTTGAAATGGGACCCACCTCGCTGTGGTTGTCAAGACCGTTTTGGGATCCCATTTTGGTTGGTAGGTGAAGTCACCACCCATTTTAGAACCAGTGGGGCTTGGGATTTTGACCCATGGCCACCTCGCTTTGGTTGAGGGGTCCATACGCAAGGCAACTTTCAACTGATTTGGTGGTCCAAAGGCCACACGGTAAACTGGAGCTCGAACAGCAGGTTTCAGGTTGGAATACGGGGCAGAGGCGCAACCGGAATTCTTAGGCACGTGGTTGCGCCCGCCGCGCGAGGATCTGTAAAACTTAAAGACACCGACTCCAGCAAACCGTTGCAGCTAGAAAGTACGGCGTAGACCAAGTCGAGCAGTCAATAAACACTGTCATGTGTAGTAAAAGTGAGGTTCTGACACCACAACACCATCTAAAAGTGGCCGTTACTTTCCTAACTGAACTGGCGGGCGCGCCCAACTTGTTTGTATCACACACCCCAAGCGCACAAGGTCACTTGGATTTTCCTACAAGACTGCTTGATTAATACATTCCCCCCTAGAAGAGTAGAGTAGTTATCCTCACCCAAGCCGACCAGCCAGGCGGCCACGCCACCTGAAAGATAAGCTGATGCACTTCCGATGCCGCCTCAGCAGCTCTTCCATCCATGAACAAATGCGGGACGTGGAGGGAATTTAATGGCACATCTGACCATTTTGACCCCCCCAATCTTTTTGCGCCTTTTGAATATGCAGAGCTGTCCCCTTGTGAAGATGTCTCGATTGAGAGAAACCGGAGCAGCTCCTTTCATGGAGCATGACTGCAGGTGTAAAGGCGCAGGCGACCACGTGGAAAACTTTGAACACCTCTCCTTCAATCACCACCCTCCCCCCAAGATTGGTTCCTTCCAAATGCGCAGCAACGTGTTGCAGGGTGCTCCTCAATTTAGTGACGATTGTGGGGCCTTTGTCAAACCACAGCCTCTGGGAGAAGTCGCATGGGACTTTTGGGCGCTGGCTCGTAGGAGAACTGCACTTTGGACCCGGAAGTCGTCTCCGCCTGCCCATTCAGCAGTGCATGCGAGTGCCGGGGCGCACTGCCCGCAGGCCGTCCGTTGGGAGTTGACCTGCATGATTGTTCAAGCTTTTGCTTATAAGAACTCATATGCAGTTGCTGGTTGGACACATTCCCAGCTTGTTCAACGGCACACGCGCCACTTCTCACGCCACGAAGAAAAGGGTCGGTCGGTGAGTTAGGACAATTCCGGATGTATGAATTGCAACGCAGCACCTTGACCAGAGACGTTGGGATGCATGTTGTGTGCTTGTGATTCAATATACGCTGGCTCGTAGGTCTAGGTTAGAGTCTAGGCGAAGCAGAGCTATATACCTCACCTGACCTGCAATGGGGCTAAAGCGAGCATTGAAGAGCTGCTTCGGACAATTGCACCCAGATATCTCGACAGATCCCGGTTGTCAAGAGTTCTTTGACTCCCAGCGTATGGTGAAAACAGACCAGTCGAGTCTTCAGCCTTTCGTGGAGCTTGCCTCACACGGGAGACTGCTTGACCACAAGAACACCGGGCATTTGGAATGGGCCGCTCTGATTCACTGCCACGTTGCCAAGTGCTTGCTGTTTGTTTCGGGAAGGGGCTTGCGGCAAGTTGGCCCGTGGGAATCCAACTTTATCCAAAACACCCAAAACAATGACCAACTTGACCAACCCACAAAGCTTCGAAAACTCAATCATTCTACCCTTTCGTTGTCCTTTTGGTTTCCCCCTAAACTGCCAAAGCGGGTCTGCAGAAAGGCGCGGGGCCTTTCTGGCCCTGGCGCCGGGTCGGGCCGCCTTTTCAGGGGGATTCCAAAGCCTCAGTTCCGTGGGCATCCCTCGGGACCCGTTTCCAGTCGTCGCCAGGGGTGCTGAGCAGTTCCTTCGCGGCCAACTACGGCGGCGCCTGCGGCGCCTGGGACTCCGTGGACTGCAAGGCCACCTGGGGCAGCGACGTGGACAGCGACTGGCCACTTGGCTTAGGAATTCCTTCGTCGAGGGAAAGGTTCGCCGCGCGGCTCTGGAGCAGCGCGAAGCCAAAGCTGCGTTTCTTAAGGAACCTACGTGAGAGCTAAGTCCAGGGTAGCCAAAGTGCCGTGTAACCCAGGCAATTGCCCGGTGATTCCCCGATGCGCGAGTCGAAAGGTTTGAATCAAGGCATGCGGAGCCACCCGAAAGGAAACGGCCAACGGCAATGGGAGGGGAGTTGCTGATCAAGTTGTGTTTGACAATTTCTGAGGGTTTGTTTAGTAAATGCGTTTTTGTTTTTGAAACAGGAAGATAGCACAGCTATGCGCTGTTGCTATTCATGAAGACAACTCTATTCGGGGAGGCAGCGTGCACGCCTCCTGTGTGCAATTTGAGATGTTCGTGTTCAATCCATGTTTGTGTAGCGGCAGCACTTTGGGCATGCTATAGTCAGTTCCTGAGCATTCCCTCGTTGCTGTCTACTTGCACGGGCGAGATTTGATTGGCTGCCAAGGCAAAAACCTTGCTCCAGCAATTCTTGGGCATCAGAATGGTTTGATCGGCTAAGGGACACAAGTGCAAATCACGAGTGGTGCTGTGATTCCTGGTGCTACGTCAACGAGTCCTGCCCCATCGCCAAGAAGTCTTGGCTTGGCGTTGGATACTATTGGAGCTATGAGACCTGCAACTGGGCCTTCGAAATCGACGTGCCAGTCTCAAACTTTTTTGACCTTGCGGGTTCAAACTGGAAATATGGCTGTGGCTCAAAAACCCGGCACCAAAATGGGTTGCCCTGGTAAGTGGAAACATGGACCAAAACCTGCGGTTTGCCCCTTCTGTTTAATTTTGAGCCACACCCATATAGGGAAACTTGTACTGCCCTAAACTTGCGCCTTTCGCCTTTCGCCTTCCAAGTTTCGGGGCCTTGGATGGTTCTGCCAAGCAACTGCTGCGCACAGCACATCACCCATTTTGGGATTTTTGAATTCATTCCAGATGTTTATTGAAGAGCGTCCTAAGCCTCCTTTTGAGGTGGGGACCATTGTGCACTTGCTGGCTTGCTTGTTTGGCTGAACAAAGTCTGCCTTCTACAAAAACAAACTTACTGCGTTGAAGCTTTGGTCCATTACCGGTAACAGGGACTCGGGCACAGGGTGTGGCATGGAGGTTCCTTGTCAATGTTGCAAACCTGATGCAGAACAACGCCACGTCCAATCTACCAAGCAGGGTCTCAGACAGCTCCAAACACGCGAGCAGCGCTAACACACTTCTTGTTCATTCCACGCAGAGGGCTTGCAAGCAAAGACCCGCGTAAGCTGAGCAGTACATAAGCGACTTGTACTCAAACTTGCAACTTTCGAGTCGGAGCTGCCGAAGTGCACTACCTGCAATACTTTCATACTGCAAAGTTGCGTTTCAGAGCGCAGCTGCCAAAGTTCATTGGAGCATTGCCAGACACCCCGGAGGCAGGAGTTTAGAGAAGGTTCTTGTAGCATGACTGGGCGCAAGCAACCATGTATCGCTGCCAAAGCTCCGCGGAAGCCATAGTTTTAAGCTGGTGCAGACCTGTGCTCTTGATGCGTGAGTACCCTCTTTTTTGATTTGGTCCTCAGCGGCCCAACGCCCAATGCGGTGCATCGTGGTGGCCATGTTGGGTTTGTTCGCAGGGCAGAAGATCCGCGGAAGCCGGAACCTCCGGCTCCGAATCGTGGCCCTGGCATCCTGAAGCTGCTTCGTGCACTGCGATTGTATTGGACCAATGCAGACTTAGAGCCTACTCAAGCTGCCACAGCGCAGTCTGTCTGTGTGTGCTGCCGCCGTGCTGTGAGTTGCAAGATGTTGCAAGCTTCGAATAGAAGCTTCAGAGGCATAAATCAAGGTTTTTAGCACTTGTGCGTACAAGTTAACATGAGGGCCTATCCAAAGCAAGGGCGACAGGCACTTGTTAGCGCTTTGCGCCCGCTTAGTAGTTGGGAACAACGCTACAATTCCGGGATTCTGAGCATGCCACCTAAGCACCTAGGCCGAAAGCGCAGAGAGTCCCAACCTATGATTATGATTGATTATGTTCCTTGCTCGGACAGCATCCCGTGCACTTCCGGCAAAAAAGAAGAAGAACAGTCTACTGCATCCCGTGCTCAGGCGACGATTCCAACGCCACCTACGACGAGGCCAGCGACACCTGCACCACGGCTGCGCACCGGCGCCGCGTCGCCCGACGCCTGGAGCTTGAAGAGGACGCTGACGCTGACGAAGAGGAGATCGGAGCGGCTCCTCGCACCTCGGCGTGGAAGTGAACGTGAGTCACGTCCATTCGCTGGAGAACATGTTTGATTGGGTCCCCTGTTGGTTTTAAAGGGAATCTATCACTACGTGATATATGTCTATTTTTGTCCAGGGGTCTTGGCCAAATGGAAGGTCAGATTGCAACCTGTGCGGCCGTGGCTTGCGGGTCGTTGTGTCAGCCGGGGTTTCAGGAACTGCAGCAAGCGAGTACAAAAAAGCCACGCCTTTCAGCGAGAAAAGTAGCACACCTGAGGCTTGCAAGACTAAGTGAGAGACCCGTTTGAACCAAGGTGTTGCAGGGCTTATGTTGACAAGGCCAGCCGCAGATTAGATCTGATTTGAGAAGGGCCTTGGGCGCCCAGTTCGGAGACATCGCCAGACTTGTTGGTTGACTTATCGCTGGGACCATTTAGTGTCCAACTGAATCTAAAGGGACAATCTGTCAAATACGACGACCCCCAAACGGCCAACTGTTCATCAGACAAATTGTGAGTGTAACTCGAGGGAGCCTGTCATGACCGGCAGAATGATGCCAAAGAGGCTGTAGACAGCAGGCCACCCTATGGCAGGTCTTGCCCAATGAGTTTCATTGACCTCATCTCCCACTCGGTGTTGCCAACTTGGCTTCTGCCCGCATACATACCGGTATACTCCCAAGGAACCATTTCCCACAATTGTCCGAAATAAGCAGACAAACGCTCATGCCTGTCAATAGCGTTTATTTCGCCACAACACACTTCTTTCCAATCCCACTCTTTGCGATGGTTCCAAGCCACAGAAGAATGGAACTCGGTTTCGGTGGTTCCGCAGAGTTCCGCGTATTTCCTGCTGATGTCCAGTAGTAGCAACACTTTTCCACCAGGGCTGGTTGAAACATTCAAAAAAGCAACCAGTTGCAAGAAGTTGCACTTCCGCCGGCCAAACAAACAAATAAGCAGAACAAATGCAATACGCAAGCGTTTCTTTTTATTTGAGCTTCCAGGCATTATACATGTCAGCCCCCGAGTGTCCGCCCCTTCGCACGGATCAAAAGCCCGGTTACCCCCCATTAAAATAGGTTCTAAAATGGGTGGTTAATTCACCTACCAACCAAAATGGGATTTGATAACCACAGCCATATCCTTTTGGTCGTTGGCCGATGAGTCCCGAGGTCAATTGGCGGGTCGCCGGCGCTCGAGTAGCAGCTGGAGCAGCTCGTCTTCTCGCCGCCGCGCCAGCTCCAGCAGCAGCTTCAGCAGCTTCAGCAGCTCCAGCTACCGCAGGCAAGGCAATTTGAATGGGAATGAATGGGAATGGGAACGGGAATAGGAATGTAAATGGGAATTGGAATGGGAATGGGTTTTGATGACGGAGCCGAGTTTTTCCCCCGGTTTGCATGGGAATTTGATCTTTGGTGCATTTTGCTTGGAGTTAGGACTTTAACTTTTTGCCAACGAAAGGGTTTTCCATTAAACCACTAAAAGTTGAACTTTTAGAGAGGGAGCAGAAAGCAACCGAGTGATGAGGCAATTTGAGCCACGATCAAAACCCGGGGATTGACCATCCCAACCAGAAATAGCGGATATGCGCCTTCTTAATTCTTTGCATGGTTCTGGTTAGACCGGTTTATTGCCGGGTTTTGATTTTGACTCATTTGATGACGGAGCCGGGTTGGCCCGGTTTGCATGGGGAACTCGCGCAAGCACCTTAGGTCGGAAGCAAAGCGAGCGCGACCCAAAAAATGACGGGCGTGTGTGTCCCACGATGTTTGAGACCAACTTGTCTTGAGTCTGTTCGATGCGGTGTTGATCCCAGGTCAGATTCGCAAACTTCAAGCGCGACCGATGTTGCAACAGTGGCTCATATTTGGAAGCTGCTTTTGCGGACTGGCACAAGTGCTTACAGCCATCTCAATTAGCTTGAACATCGCCGAACACTACCCGGTTGAATCAGAACCGAGAAACATACATATATATATATATATGTATATATATAATATAATATATATATATATGCCAAAATGGTGTTTAGGGCGGATTGCTTCAATCATGTGTAGGCACGCGGTCGGCCCAGCCCCTCAAGTTCAAGCCATCTTGCGTCTTGTTGGACTTAGTAACTCTTCATGCATGTAATAAGCAAATCTACAGATTGATATTACACCGTCCTGAAGTGCTTGTTATTTGCATGTGCAAGTTATGCCGTCGCTTGTCAACCCAGATTGAGTCGTAACTCCCCGATGCATTGCTGCAAGTCACAACTTCAGATTCACACGCATGGTAGTAGCATGTGCTCCCTCAGAGGTTTGACAAGCCAGAGTGGACGTGCTTATCGACCAGCGAACCAGCAAAAAAATGAATTTTCTGCGGCAGAGTAGGTTTCTTGGTGTCTTGATAGTTGTGGGATGCATCCACAAAGTACTGTTTAGTTTGCTTCCTGGTGATTCGGCAAAGTTCGCTTCTCAAGATGCCCGACATTCGGGATGGCAAAATCAGCATAAATACAAGGTTTGGTCACATGACCAGTAGTCTATGCTCCATCAGAAGGGCACATAGGGCCTCCCGATTTTCCCCTATTTTGGATGGCTCATAGCAAGCAGCCCTGGCTGGCTGGCTGCATGACTGGGTAAGTTTTACTTCTTCCCTCTCCCGGTCCACCGGAGCCAATATGGTCTCCAGCCCCCGACACCCGGGGTCATAGACACTTAGGCCATGTGCAGCCAAGAACCCTAAACAGTCAATGGCCTAAAGGAAGGTTGGTTGCACCATAGACCCCAAGTGTCCATCACACGGACACCCCCTTCCCCCCCCCAAATGAAAATCGCCTTAATTAGCAAGTACTCTCCTGCAAATTCACATGGAAGCCAAACACGGGGGTCCAAAAGGAGACTCTAAACATGGTGCTTGTTTAGGTTCGAGTTCTGCAGGGGACACCACTTCCCCCCGCCAAAGATCCCTCGGGATGCCTTCGAGGCGATCACCTCCCACCAGCAGCACCAGCCCCCGCCGCCGCTCCTTCTCCGCGCCCAGTAACCGGCCTGCAGTTGGCGCTGTGGGAGTTGACAGACGTTTCTCCTGAAATTTGTTCCATGGGTTTTTAGCATCTGTTCATTTGGCTTCACCCTTTTCGAAATAGTTCCGTGGGTTCCGCCCTGTGCCACAAATAGGTCAATGTGTTCCACCCTTTTGACCCAGCAATTGCAGGGGCTTCACCCTTTTACCTCACTAGTTCCATGGAACCCGAAACCCCGTTTTGTTTGGGGTTCTTGCGATGCCCTCGGGAACGAATCGAGGTTGAGCCGTTCGGACTGGGCAACGGGGGGATCTGTGAATCTGGGAAGGGCCATGGCTACGAAGGGGGACCTTGGCTTTGATAGGGCCGACCGAGAAAAGGGAACGGGAGTGACCCTCGATGATTTTTCCGGTTGGTAGATCTTTCAGAAACCGTCACATGTTTCAAGGGCCCGCTCGGCGCTGGTAGCTAGCAGCTTGGGGGATGTCATCATTATGCCGTTTGACATCGTTTGACGTTTTGGAGGGTGGCACATGTTGAGGTTTGGCAGTTTTGGGGAAAGTAAACTTGCGTAACCTGCCAGGCCCCCCCGATGGCCGGTAATTGGCGTCCCGGGTGAAGTGCCGGCAATTGACCTGCACTTGCTTAAAAATGGTTTTGTAGTCACATAGATTTTGTTGCCATCATCAAAGTGCAGTGAAAGGTCACTTTTGTTGAAACGTCACTTCAGGATACTAGAGGGGATCCAATTGAGGGGTTGGGCTGGCATGTATGATCATTGCACATGCAACGAGCGGGGGGGGAGGGGGGGGCGACACGCTGGTGACACGCTCATATCCCAAAAAAGTGACTGCCGGCAATTGGCCACCCCCCGACACGCCGTGACACGCCATGACACGCTCCTCAAGAACCCCTCCCAACCTCAAACTTGCCCTCCCTCAAATTTGTTGCTCTCCCCTTTCCCCTGCAACCCCATTCCAAAGGACCCTGAAAGGTCACTTGTATTATTGCGCAAATTGCACTAAGTACAAATGAGTGATACTTGATAGCAAATTGCTTTTGCAGTCACTTAGACATAAAGTGACATCTTTTTGCCAAGAATCGATGTGCCGGCAATTGGCCAGCCATTGGGGGGTGCTGGTGGAGTTTCCAATTTACGGGGCCACAGGTACTTTGCTTGGCAAACTGCCAAGCAAGCTGAAACTGCAACCGCCAGGTCCCAGAGCTCTTGTTCCCACGTGAGGAATTCTACATGTCGTTTCTTTCAAAAGAAAGTGGCGATCTGCGACAAGCTCACCTAAAGGTCAAATGAGCTCACCCCTGAGAATTTGGATGAGCCTCAGGGTCCTTGTGAATTCTAACGGCTCAATTTGCCCAGAGAATCCCTTACAAAATACTTGGTATGGCCTTGGCCTTCTTGATGGACCTCTAGATCAGACATGAGAAGGATTCCCCCTTCCTACGCCACAGCCTGCAGAAGGCTCATGGTTGGCAAGCAAAATCTTCGCGTGTTCTCAAGGGCACATGGAGATTCCTTTGGCTACGGATGAAGTACGAAGGCCGTTGGCTGGTGTGCAGGGCATAACAAGCACTTTATGTAAACGCTAGGTGCTTGGCGCGTTGTCCTCTTTATCGCAGGAAACAGGTGTGAGTTTGAGCATGGTGAAACCAGCAATCTTGTTGTTGCTTCAGCGGTTCTTCCTTTAAACACCGACGACCTGGACATCAACAGAAGACCCACGGAGTACACACCATGGAACCGGCACTGGCCACAGCCCATGAATGCATTTTGCTTGTGGCCTCGCTGTGCGCTATGGCCGACTAATCACTAATTCACCTGTATACATGGAGTGCTTAAGAATTGACCGGCTATGTGTTCCAATAGGTTCCCTCGCGACAGTCGGTCAAAGTGACAGTTTGTGCAGGGTTTGCCAAGCCAAGCCCAGCTAAAAGGCATGCTTGACTCTCCAAACATCTTCACACGTGCTCAAAGCAATGGTGGTGAAAGTATGTGAAAGTGCCGGGTGCCGGGGCAAGTTGTCTTGACCTAGAGATCGCAGGGTTTAGCCCATGTTTCCATTACCAGGGCTCCATTTTGAGTAGCTTTTGACCCATAGCTAGATGTGCGTGTGGTGGGGTTCCCTTGAAGGACCCAACCGGACACGCGGCGATTCCTTGAGGCGGCTGGTCCCCCCGGCGCCGGGCCCCGGTCTCCCCGCGGCGCCGCGACATCCGGCGCCGGGCGCCTCCACCGCCGGTGCCTGCGCCCATCAACACCCGGCGCCGCTCCACCAGCCTCAACGGGCAGACGCAGCTGGGATCCCATGGCCTGAGCTGAGAGATGTGTTTTTCATCTTTTTTTTTAGGTCTCACAAAAAAAGCCGGTGGATGTTTCTCTCTCTCTCTCTCTCTTTTTTATCAGACACGCTCGAATTCTTGGGGTTTTGTTTTGGTGCTTGAAGGATGCATGCACTGGGACGCAAATTGATGGCCCTTTGGGGTTGGCACCTGGCAATTTCGCGACCAAGTGGTTTATACCTAGTCACAGAGTGCAGAGGGGGTAACTCATCTCAAAGCGGAGCAATGCCCGGCCGCCTGTTCAATCAATTTGATTGTTTTCTGGGAAAAAATCACGAGCCCAGCCGAGCTGAATCTGTTGTTTTGGAATAATGCCGAGGTGAGCAAGAGGATTCAGTAGAAGAACGAGGTCAGCAACCAGGTAGTTCCACTGTAGTAGAATTAAGGGCTGCAGTGCCAGCCTGCGGCTGTTTGCCTGCTAGCCGCGGAAGAAAAAACTACACCGTTCGTGGCCAATCATTTTTTTGAGGAATCAACACACTTTCCGTGGGCAAATGGGGCGTGGGAAAAACATCCTGGTTGCTGCCCCTTTTGCTCTTGCCATTGAACAGCTTCTCTTGGCTCTCACCAATTCAATGGCAAGAGCAAAGGGGGGCAGCAACCAGGATGTTTTTCCCAAACCCTTTTGCTCATGGAAAGTGTGTTGATTCCTCACCGGAAAACAACTTGATTGACTACGAATTGTTTTTTTGGCATGTGGATTGCTCGCCCTCCCCTCCAAACCCTCCTTGCACTGTAGCAGCGGCCGCCTACGGCTGACAGAAATGTTTTTTTCCAAGACTGCGTTGTAGGAGATGAATCGAGGTGCCATCTTCGAGCGAGCGAGAAGAAACGAGGTTTTGGAGGTAGGAATGAATCAGATTTGTGCCGAATGTATATTGCTGTTTGTCAAGCTTCTACATGTTCCTTCGCGGGGGTTCATGACGTCATTGCATCCCCCGCCCCCGAATTCATGTTGAGGTAAATGAGACCAATCTAGAACCAGGGGGGTGCCTCATGATCCGAGAAATGCAAAACCCATTTGGCCGTTAGTCCGGAAATCCGAAGGAAGCCCACTTTTCACGGTCCCTTATTTGAGGAGCCAACTTTGGATTGCCTCCCGGACGGAAATCGTAGTTCCACGGCTTTTCGTGAAGCCGCCAAGTTTTGTACGTGCTCGCTGCACATTTTGGGCTGCCAGAGGTACGTCACGACCCCCCGGCGCCGCAGCACGTCCTCCACGCTGCGCCGCCGCCGAACTATCCCAGTGCAGCCCTATGGCTACTCCTCCCGGCCGCAGTGGCCCGGCACACGTCAGAAAGCGGGGGGTCCCTTCACCACTTAGGGGATGACTTGCAGAATCGTAAAATCACTGAGCCAGTTTTGGGGGGAGTTGCTGATTTCTTGTTTAGTGTTGTGCCTCCTTCCAGAATTGTGGTCGCTTTAGTAGACAGTTTTTTTCGGTAGCGCCCCCATGAGGGGGGCGCGTAAATACCTTTTAAATACCAGTGAGTTTGGCCACGCTGATATCTTGCCAAGTTTGAGGGATTGCACGTGCGTGCGTCCACGGCCGGTTCCGGGGGGGGGGTTCGCGGGGTGGGGGGGGCAGTGGTTACAGTCATGGTGGAAGCACATTGAGCCAAGGTCCAGCATCTGCTTGCAGTTTTTCAGGTCATGTTGCAGGGAGCCCCGTCAACCCCGCCCCGTCCACCTCGTGTACGCACATGTGTGCTTCAATTGCACGTGTTTGTGTTCCAGTGTTCCACTGTCTGAATTGGACACGCGTTTCATTGTTTTCCAAATGAACACACATGTGTGTTCCACGTGAACACATTAGCGTGTCGTAGGTGAATGTGTTCCAGGTGTACACATGTGTGTGTGCTTTCCAAGAAGCACGTGTTTGTTTTCCAGCTCAACACATTTATGCGTGTGCCGCAGGTGAATGTATATATGTGTGTGCTCACGGGTGCACATCTGCGCGTGCCGCGTGTGCTGTTTCAGTCGTATACACACGTGTGTTCCATGTATGCACACGTGTGTGTCTGAATTGGACATGTACGTCTGAACTGCCCACGTGACCGCGCGCTTGCGCAGCCACACTTGCGTTCACGCGCGCGCGTTCGCCTGCTATCGCACGCGCTTGCCCAACCTCAGTTCTGGCGCGGTGCTGAAGCGCGAAGCACGCCAGCAACACACGTGCAGCAACGCAACGCGTGCCAGGTTCACGACTGCATCATTTTGATTCATCCGTGTTGAAGCGCAGAAAGCCACAAGCTGTTGGCATGTCTGTGCTTGCCCGTCAGTCCTCAACTGTTTGGGGTCATTCTATTTTAGTTGGGCAAGACAATGCAGAAGCGTTGCGCTATCAAGAGATGTTGGAGGAAACCAAGTTTTTTTGTCGGACGCAGTGCTGGAAAAACCCACGCAAAAGGTTTGACAGTCCCACACATCAGTGGTAAAACCCACGCCCCCTGAGCGGGGGCGCATCCTTGTTTTCTTGCTTCAGAACCCTGTGCCTGTTTCGGGGAGAGGCCTTACTTAGACTAAGGAAATCCTGTTTTTGAAGTGGTCCCAAACCATTGCTTTAATTCAACAATAATCAAGGCCAAACAGTCACACAAAGGGGTGCCCCAGAGCCCCTGATCCTCTTGAAAATCTAACTCTTTTGGGTTCAGCTTGAACGGCGTCAGTTTGTTTTGGGTAGGTGTGAACTTCCAAGACGGCAGGATGATGGGTAAGGATGTTGAGTGCCGTGTTTTTTCTGCACGGGGAAGCCTTCCAGTTCTTGCCAACGGACCACGCGAAAGCACTGGGATGTTGTTCGGATCCAATAGTTTACTCACGTTCCGTGGAGTCCTAAAAAGCGATCAGACAGCGTTTCCCCGGTCGGCGGAAATGGAAGGCATACATTGGGGGATGGAGAGGGCGTTCATATTGATCTGTTTTTGCTGGGCTCCTGTTCGCTGAGATTTTACCGTGGTTTCCTACGTCTCTGTTGGATCCCGACGTAGTTCCTGAGGCAAATGCATCGGCCATTGCTGGCACAGACAGGTTTGTAGCATGGCAAGCGAGCTGATGCGTCAAGTTCCGAGCTAAAGGATTGAAACAAAGTCTTCAATTTGCCAGAGGTGTTGGTGCTGAAAGTCCATGGGAGTGTAAAACAGCATCAGCCAGGGTTCTGAGCACTCGAGTTGTAAAATTAACGGGGTTGTTTCTGTTGGAGTATACATTAGTTGAATGCGCGCTGCATCGCTTTTCCGGCTTTAAGCCGCTTGCAGTCATGCGGATAACTCTGGAGTGTCAATTCTGAGGATCATGAACAACTACGGAGGCACCATGCCTTATCAGACGAGCCCCTTGTCATTGGTCGGTAGGCTCGCTCAAGGCTCAGGACAGTCAGGATTTTGGCCCTGGCTGTGTGTGTGTGTCTGTGTCTGTGTCTGTGTCTGTGTCTGTGTCTGTGTCTGTGTCTGTGTCTGTGTCTGTGTCTGTGTCTGTGTCTGTGTCTGTGTCTGTGTCTGTGTCTGTGTCTGTGTCTGTGTCTGTGTCTGTGTCTGTGTCTGTGTCTGTGTCTGTGTCTGTGTGTCTGTGTGTCTGTGTGTCTGTGTGTCTGTGTGTCTGTGTGTCTGTGTGTCTGTGTGTCTGTGTGTCTGTGTGTCTGTGTGTGTGTGTGTCGTGCTGTGTGTGTGTGTGTGCTGTGTGTGCGTGCGTGCGTGTGCGTGCGTGTGCGTGTGCGTGCGTGCGTGTGTGTGCGTGTGTGTGTGTGTGTGTGTGTGCGCGTGCGTGCGCGTGCGTGCGTGCGTGCGTGCGTGCGTGCGTGGGTGGGTGGGTGGGTGGGTGCGTGCGTGCGTGAGTGAGTGAGTGAGTGAGTGAGTGAGTGAGTGAGTGTGTGTGTGTGTGTGTCTGTGTGTGCGTGTGTTTGAGTTTGAGTTTGAGTTTGAGTTTGTGTTTGTGTGTGTGTGTGTGTGTGTGCGTGCGTGCGTGTGTGCGTGTGTGTGTGTGTGTGTTGTTTGCTGCGTGTGGTGCGCTCAGTGTGTGTGTGTGTGTGTATGTGAGGGCCGTCCTAAAACCCCAGTCTTCGGTTTGAATTATCGCCGAACAGGGAGAAGTAAAAGTTGTCAAAAGCTGTGCGCGCGCAAGGAGCGCGCAAGTGCGGCCCAAGGGACGCGCAAGGTTACAGTTTTGAAGGGTTTCATGTACTGATGTTGACTAGCTTCATGAAAGGAGGTGATATTTTCTTGCTGTACTTGTGCCTTTCGAATCAGTCAGTCGCCAAACGAAGCCAAAGCTTCTGCGGTCATGACTTCATCAATCAGCAATTGACACGACAAAATCCGCACAAGCCGCGCGCAAGCCGCGCGCAAGTTGCGCGCAAGCACGAGAAGCCCCAGCAAGACATCTAGCCATGCTGTCTCGGATGTCCTTAGCGGCGCGGTTCAAGCAATGGATAGGCACCCGCAACATGCACTTTCTTTCTTTCAGGCTGTGTCCAAGCTGTGTGGCAGAGCCTGCTGTTCTTTCTGTTGGGTCAAGGGTATGTTGCTGGCATTGAATTGCCGGGAGCGACCTCAGCGGGAAAAGTCTTCGTGGGTTGCTGTGTGAACGACAAACACACTGCTTAGACAAGCTTGCGCGCAATCCACACGAAAACTTCGCAAACCAAGGTCAACGAAAACGAGTTTCTGCGCCACTGTGCGCGCGCAAGTACGCGCAAGTGCCGCGCAAGTGCGGCCCAAGGGCCCAATCGCGGGCAAAGGAATATAGGACAACCCCCATGTGTCGATCTGGAACTGTTTGATCGAGCTATGTTTCCATGTTGCCTGACAATGACTATAGTTCAACAATACTCATTACATTTCTGTGACGTTTGCCACCCCCTCTAACTGCTTGGAACGAAGGATTGTTTGTCCCGACCGAGGCTGGCCTTGTTGCTTGGAAGGAATGTGCAAACCAGTCAATTTGCAAACACCAAAGTCTTGTTTCAAAGCCAGGTTGTTTGCGATTGAAGGGAGTCAGTCAGAAGCAAGGAAAAACACGTGGCGGCGCAAGGCCCCGCGCTTGTGTGTGGCTGACCGCAGCGGAGCGGAGGATCAAGTAGGCTAGGCCTTTGCTCGCCACTTTGTCGATTGCTCAGCCTGGGACAAGCTTTGGGGTGTAAAGATGGCTCGGAAAATGAACACGATCTCAATGTTGCCAAGCAACCTCACTGACAGCTTGTTTCTTGCGTATCCCGGAACTGCATCTCTTTGTGTGTTTGCCTAACTATCCCTTCTTCCAGGATTCGGGCTTGATTCAATCTCATGCCAATCCTGGAAAAATCGGGGGGGGTGCTTGCTTTCGAGTTCCTGAGGCTATGGCTACTCGGGCTATGGCGCCTATCAACCAGGCACCCAACAGAATGTCGCCATGTATGCCGCGGGCGGCGCAGTGGGAGGAGCCGTGGTTGGAGCCGGGGCCATGTACGCCTACAACAACATGCACCTCGGCCTGTTGTTTTCGGCACATCTTTCGATGTTGAAAAGACAAGCACTGGCAATGCTGCCGAGCACTCCACGCTTTCTTGCAAAGAACTTTTGGGCGTTGCTCGTTTTGACTGGTGATGGCTTGGATGCCAACTGTACGTCTTAATCCTGGACGATGGCCAAATGGGCAGATGTTGTTTGTTTGCTGTGTATTTGTTGAATGGGTGGAGCTCGCCTTGCACCGCGGAGGCTCCGCGCAAGCAAACCTGGGGCGGGGGGGTTGGATCGCCTAGGCACCGCGTAGGCCATTCCAACAAGATTCTGCGTTGGCAGGTTTGCGGTGTGCATGTTTTGCAACACACTGTCCCAGTAAGAGTAAATAGCTGTTTTTCGCGCAGGCCCGCTCAGGCACCCTTCCCCCTTTCTACACACCTCCGGAGGCATCCGCGTAGGCATTTGTCCAGTATATGTTTACATGGCCGCGATTCAAAAACTGACATACGATCCAGATCAAAATGCACGTGCAGCCCGATCCAGATGTCCAGATCATCCAGATCACCGCAGAACGATCCATACCCATTTTCTGAACTGCCAGTGTGTTGGGCAAGGCAGATGTGAGGGTGACACATATCAAAGGAGAGCGGCTTCGATAGGTATGGCGATGCCTATGGTGTCCACCGCCGTCGATACATCAATAGCTACTCCAATATGGACTGGTGCCTTGGCTTGATTCTTGCTTGCCGTATGGATGGTTGGATCTGGGCAAATCAGATTCCAGCGGGCGAGGCTATAACAAGCCATGATGAAGGTCAAGCTTGGGGATTTCGTGAAGCTCCGGTTTGCGAATGATGCGGATGATGCATGTCCCCCCGATAGACAGGTGAGTACAGCGCTTGGTGAATCATGGAAATTTGCCCGGGGATACATGGCTCCATTAGCCGGTCGCCACGTCTCCAATTGAACGGCCGAGGAGGAATGTTTGGGTGGGTTGTCCTGAGGACGTCAAGTCAACACTTTGATCATGCTGTTGGATTCTTGCCCTTTGACGATGATCCAATAGCAGTGAATCAGAGTTCCCCATGAGAGCAGGGGCACCATGACGGATCCTGAGGCATGGAACTTTTCTGAGCTTTTCTTGTAGTGTTGCTAGCGGGAGTTCTCTAGGCTTTAGCTTCTTGTAGGGGCTGAGCTTCCCACGATGCCTGATTCAATGAGGGATGGGGGAGGGCGTGGGGCCCTAAAAAAGCCTGATTCGCAAGAACCAATTCTTACCTACACCACCCCCCCATCCCCCCCCCACCCGGGCTCGATTCCCCCCTGGCCCGCCCCCAGCACGAGCGTGTTCCCATAATCTCGTCCACACCCGCCTCTCAAGCCCAACTATGTAGTTCGGATCCATGGCATGCATCAGTACTTTTAACCGGGTGGGGCCGACCACCTGTCATACTGAGTTGGCTGGCTACTTTGCCAGCATCTTTCGGGTTCCCTTTGGAACGCTTCATCTAGATTTTTTTTTCTGCTGATACTGAGGTGCATGGTGACAGCAGCGGGCAGCCGGAACGGAGCCTTTATGGAATGCAGGAGGTGCTATGACTTGTATGGCCGCCTGGCATCGCAAAGCCCAAACCGAGGGTGTGCAAGGTTGCCTTTGGGGAAACTCAAGGGCCGCACCTCTTCCAAATGTCTTGTATACTTTGATGTTCTGAAAGAGGGGACAAGCGCCAAACCCTGCCTTGAGGGTTGACCCTTGGGATGCATAGGAAGCACCCAGCATGCTTTTCAATGTCGAGGGAGTTGTTCACCCGAGGCATCTTGTTTGTTAGGTTTTGTGGGGCTTTCAGAGAGGACGGACGGCGCGGGGCTTTCCATTGAACAAGAGAGAACCCGGAAGGCGGGGGGGCAGGGGCGCTTAGTCTAGCTGGGGCAGACCGCAGGAGATTCAGTGAAGGTCAGGTAGGACGCTGGCAGGTTGCCATGTTTTGTTACCAGTGATTTTAGAGAACCCTTCGCACGGTTTGAAACTAAAAGCCCTTGTTTCATGTCCACTCGTTTGTGTCTCGAACAGTTTTGGACATTTTGCGACACACCTTTTCACCTTGGCTACTTCTAATCGTTTACTCAGGTTCAACCAATGATTTGTGGTGTCATGTACGGTGAATCCCAGGGCTGCCTTGGTTAGCCCCTCAAAGCCTGGGCTTTGAGGCTTCTCGTACTGCCCATCTGCACGCTCCTGCAATACGGCATCTGGTTGCGCCTACACTGCGCCGCAGCAACTTGGAGCGAAGTTTAGTGGGAGCAGCTGACAAACGGAAGCCCATGAGGTCTCTCAAGCGCATGCGAGCCACAATCAAAACCCGGATAGATGAAGGTTTGCAAGGGACGATCCCAACCATAAATAGCTGCGGCCGCCTTCTTAATCCTGTACATGGTTCTGGGTAGACCATTTTAGTACCGGGTTTCATGCGAAGCGACAGAGATATGTGGCTTTTGGGTGCGAAGTTTTGATGCGATTTGGTCATTTCGACGCCAGCATGTTCCCGCACCGCAAACAGGGGGTTTCGAGGTGCTTGAGACAAGTGCATCAAGCTCGTTCAGCCCCTCCTTTCCTTTTCAAGCTCTTCCCAAGTTGCCCCCAGCCTTGTAGAAGGAGCACCTGGAAATGATATGTGTGGATATACCTACCGCAGTATGCGCCAATTGAGTCAACGTATTGCTCGTTGGTGGCTCTTAATCGGCTGGAGCGATTTCCCATCCGGCCCTGTGCCAGAGCACTGAGGAGCTTCAACCGCGATGACCTGGCGGCAACTGGATTCTTGCCCAAGATTCTCGGCGCAAAACCGAGATTGTGGAGCCAGTGGAGCGGGGAGACATCTAAACCCAACATAGATCCCTGGTAAGGAGGGTCATGTATCAACAATAACGGTTATGCTGTGGAGATGCGCGCGCATTGGGCGCATTGCTGTTTGTGAAGATGCGCAGGCATGGTATCTATCCTTGGCTCTCGCAAGCTTGGATGTCTTCCATGTTGAGGCGGATATTTTCTGCACAAGCGCACGTACCCCTCGCTCCTAAGACATACCCGTTTAGATCTCTTTCATGGCCAAGCTCAGACTGCTGCTTTCCATGCTGTGCAGCTGAGTCCATGTGGCCATGGGCTTTTCAAAATCCGAATCGGTGAGCCCCCGTTGAAGATCCGATTCAATCCAACCACTAAAATAGGAAGCCTAAATGGGTGGTGAATTCACCTAGCCACCAAAATGGGCTCCCAAAACGGTTTTGACCACCACAGCCATGTTGCCATTTCGCACCCCAAAATGGCACCCTGGTTTTGACAACCACAGCCATGTTGCCATTTCGCACCCCAAAATGGCACCCTGGTCCGGTTTTGACAACCACAGCCATGTTGCCAAATCGCACCTTGAGGAGCTACACCTTTCCGTTGCGGGTGATCTTCACCAGCATCACCGGTCAGGGCGTTGACACTGATCCCGTCACGGGCATTTGCCCGCCTCAGACGGCGGCCCAGGCAGATTTGATTGCTCAGTGCCTCGGAAGTGAGTCCAAACTCTGTGGGGTTGATTCAATTTCAGGCAGATTACACGGATCCCAGCCATGGAGGACATGCCTTTTCACCCCCACTTTGGGTTCGATGACAATTCCGACGGAACAACATGATACGAGATGACATGATCTGTGCTGCTCAGACAGATTTCGTACACACCTACTAAAAAGCACAGCCACTTGGCACATACTCGGCTAGCCAATACGTGGGAAGCCTCTTTTTGGGTCAGCCAGTTTCGCTGTCGGGTTGTTCCTCTGTTTCGCGCCCTGCGTTCGATTTGCAGACGGGCATATTTGTGCATCAACGCCCCCCCCATTGCAACCCCTGACTCAGTGACATGTTTGGGGTGGCAGCTTTGCTTCGAGACCGGTGTGCCTCAACCCGTCATTCACGACTGGGCCATCACATGCCCACCTTTATCTTCCTTCTTGTCAGTTGTGGAGAGTGCAACACACGCATGTTAGCCGTCTACAACCAATTTAAGCTCTTGTAAGCTTTAGATGCCTGAAGCTCTGCTTAAGCAACTTGATGGCTAAGCTGGCAACTTGTGCGTTGCCACAGCCAGATGATCAACTGCAGCCCCACAGTTTCTGGCTCCACGCTGCAGTTGCCATTTTGCGCACCCACCACACCCTTTCTGTCCGGGCGGCCAGCCGCTACGCACCGCGCGCGCGCGCCGCGTGCCTGACTGCTCTCAGCCGGTTCCGTCCGTCGGCCGCGCCGGCTGCCCGGACGTTCTCCCATCCGCGAATGTAGTGCCGCGCACTGCTGCGTTGGAAAGGACTAGTCCTTAGCCAAACGGTTTGCGTTGTAAGAATGAACAGAGTACATGTATATGCACGTATGTATGTGCATGTACACCTTCGCAGTGCCGAACTTGAGTTGCCTTATGTTGGTTATTTCCCGTGACCTTTGCTCCGTCTCCTTCACTTTCAGGTTCAACAAGACCATGTCCTTTAAGCCCGACCTGTTCCTGGTGCTCACAAAGCAAAACACCCTGCGGGAAGCTGGAGCCTGTGATACTGACACCACCACCAAGTGCACGAGCTCTTGCTGGATCGATCACAGCGTTTGCACCAACGGCATCTGCCTGTGCCAGTCGGGCTACTGCTGCTTGGAACGCAGGCAAAAGGGGGGGGACTGCTGAAGTTCCGGCACGCGGAAATGCACCGCGTAGGATTACTGACGCACCACAATGTCCTTTCTCAATTTTTTGCAAGACCAACCCTGCTACGCAGTGGATGTAAACCTAGAAGCGATTCGCTGCAGATGGCGTGACCCCTGCGTGACCTGAACCAAACTGATAGATTTTGCTCGTTGAAAGAAAGAGAGAGATTTGCCAGAGTCCGGATTCACGACAAATATTTAAGAATGCCCTGCACGTGGGTTCTTCATTGACAATGCCATGCTTGATCGGTCACTGAAGGACATGCTCCAAAACACATCCAGCATCAGTCCAAGACTCTATTTGCTGATTCAGTCCCGCCGCTTGTTCTGAACTCTGACTGAGGTTGGAACGGCGTCACGTGCACACGCAGCGCAGTTAGCAAGGGCTGGGGCGCAAAGCTGGGCTGGGCTTTTGTCGCCCTTGTCTCGAGTTTCGTTTTGTACTGAGGGAGTTGCGCCAAAGCAGCACCGGGGGCTATGGCCCTGT